GGCCGACCTCATAATTTTGAAGAATGGTAAACACTTATCCGCTGATCTGGAGATAAATCGATGCAGAGCTGCCACCCTTCCAGTCAACCTCTGTATATCTTTAATTGACTTCAGTGGTTCCATCTCGGCAATTGCTCTGATCTTCTCTAGATTGACCTCAATCCCTCTTCGGGACACCATGAAACCTAGAAACTTTCCAGACTCCACTCCGAAAATACACTTGGCTGGGTTTAACCGCATCCGGTTCTTTCTGAGGTTGTTAAAGGTTTCGTCGAGGTCGGCGAGATGGTCTTCTGCTTTTAGGCTCTTTACCACAATGTCGTCAACATATACCTCCAGATTCTTGCCAATCTGAGCGTGGAAGACAATGGTTACCATTTTCTGATAAGTAGCACCTGCATTTTTCAAACCAAATAGCATCATGACGTAACAATAAATTTCATCACCAGCATAGAACGTAGTTTTCTCTTCGTCTTCTGGAGCCATTGGCACCTGGTGATACCCCGAATATGCGTCCAAGAGGCTTAACCTCTCATTGCCTGAAGCCGCTTCAACTAATTTGTCAATGCTCGGCATCGGATAGCAATCCTTAGGGCAGGCGTGGTTAAGATTTGTGTAATCAACACACATTCGCCATTTGCCATTTGCCTTCTTCACCAGAACTGGGTTAGCCACCCATTCGCAGTAATCAACTTTCCGGACAAAACCAGCTTGTAGGAGTTTCTCTACCTCTTCTTTAATAGCCTGAAGCCTCTCCCCCCCGAAGAGATGCCGCTTCTGGGCCACTGGTTTCTTCAATGGGTTGGTACTGAGCTTATGTTGACATACTGAAGTTGGGATTCCTGGCATATCTGCCGAAGTCCATGCAAATACATCATTGTTAGCTCGGAGAAAAGCTATCAGTTCTGCTCTCTCCTCCGGGTTCAATCTAGTTCCGATCTGCGTTTTTCAGCTCGGATCTCTGTCATCAACGAGCACTTCTTCAACATCTTCGACCGGAGCAGCTCTGGTTTCATCTTCCGGTCGATTATCTACGATCTCAACACCCATAACCTGCTGATTATCGGGAATTCACTGGGGAATAACCTCGGGTGTCTTATCTTTGCCCTTCGTTGGTTGTGTTACCGAGGTAATGTAACAGTGTCTGGCTACCTCCTGATTTCCTCGCAGTGTTGCTATTCCCATAGGAGTGGGGAATTTCATGCAAAGATGAGATTGGGAAACCATAGCTCGGATTTCAGTCAATGTGGGTCGGCCAATAACAATGTTGAAAGAAGAGGCCATCTTGACAATGAGGAACCGGACCGACGGGGTCACATAGGTCCTGCCACTCCCAAAAGCCACATGGAGGGTAAGAACTCCTTCTACCGGAACAGGCTGGTTGTTGAAACCATAGATAGGACCATCATACTTCTGCAACAATGCTGGATCTAGCCCCAGACTCTCGAAACAGTGGAAGTACATAATGTCTGGTGCACTCCCGGTGTCAACAAGGACACGCTGTACTTCACAGTTATTAATCATGACAGAAGTGACCAGGGGATCATTGTGGGGTGTAACAACTGTGTCGAGGTCAGCAGATGTGAAAGTAATGGGTTGATTCTTCCATTCAGCATCGTCAATCTTCCGCTTCTGAGCTCGATTTTGATGTCTAACCTCTCGAACATACAGCTTTCGCTGCTTAGAGCTCAGTCCACCTGCTTCAAGGCCTCCCGTAATCATATGTATGATTCTAGCCGGTGGTGGGAGCGGAGGTGGGGCTTGCTGATATCCCACACCTTGCCTATTTGGAGGATTGCGGACTCCCTGAGGTTGCGGTCTCTGCTCTCTGACAAACCTCGGTTGTTCAGCTCTTTGGACATACTCATTCAGCATTCCCTTCTGAGCTAAACTTTCCAGTTCGGACTTTAAGCTGTTGCACTACTCTGTAGTATGGCCGTGATCTTGATGAAAATCACAATATCTGGTGTGGTCACGACTAGCAGCAACAGTTCGCATTGGGCCAGGACGTCTCAAGTCCATTTTGTTCTTTATCTGCATAAAAATTTGTGACCTCGGCAGATTAAAGGGAGTCCAATTAACTGGAGGTTTACCTGCAGACTGTTGCTGGGGTGTTGAGTTCGGTCTTCCGAATCTCGGTGGGGAGGTCAACGTCGGGCCTCGGTTCTGTGCCATCCTCATCCTTTTCCGGCTCGGATTGTCGTCTCTCCATTCTGGGTTCTGGTTCTTAGAGGGGGGTGGGTTTTGTGCCAGGGCATACTCCTCAGCGGTTATAAATTTAAGAGACCGATCATTCACCTCGCTAAAGGTGGTGGCAGCATGTTTGATCAAATTGTCTCGGAACCTGTCATGTTTGAGACCAGAGATTATAGCTGCAATGCCCACAGCTTGGTCGAAGGAATTAACCTCCAACACCGCATCATTGAACTTGCTCATGTAGTTCTTTAAAGACTCTCCGTCCCTCTGTTTAACTCGCATCAATTCAGTAATAGTTTTCCTAATCAACCTTCTACTGGAAAACTTAGTGGCAAAGGCAGATGCCATTTCTGTGTAAGAACTGATCGACCTCGGAGGTAGACTATAATACCAAGTTCGAGCATTACCTCGCAGAGTAGAGGGGAAGATCTTGCACATTAATGCGTCAGAGGCATTCTGTGCTTGCATGCAAGAGTAAAAAGCATGTAGGTGATCATCGGGATCCTTCGTCCCATCATAAGTCTCCAATTGTGGTATTTTGAAGCCAGTAGGATAGGGTTCCAGTGTGATGTTGGTATTCAGGGGATGAGGTATGGAATCAGTAGCATGTTGTGGGGGTGGAGCACCTCGGTGTTCAGCTATCAGCTTTTCTAAGCTATCAAGGCGACGAGTAACATCATCAGGGATGGGTTGCTGAGCGGGTGCTATGTGGGATTGATCCTGAGATTCGCTAATAGCGGGAGCAGGTTGAACTGGTTGGGGATTTTGTTGTGGAGCTGGGGGTTGTTGAGCAGGGTTTAGTAAATTGATGAGGGGATCACCAGGATTATTTCTAGCTAAAAGCTGAGCCAGTACCAACTGAAAAACACCAAACTGCTGCTGCATGGCAGCAAGCTGAGCTGTCACCGCGTCTTGGTTGGCAGTGGAAGTTGAATTGTGAGATGAGGTATGGGGTTGGTTTTCATCTCCTCCTTCTGCATGATCAACAGGAGGGAACATAATTGGGACCTGAGGTGGAAGCTGAGGTGGTATTTGAGGTGGGATCAGAGGTGGAAGGTTGGGGGGGGTTGACCTTGCCCATGAGGCAGAGATGAATTACCAGCTCTGACTGATCAAGTGTGAACCATAATAGAAGAGCAACTAGAAAGCTTTCAGTTCGTTTCCCACAGACGGCGCCAATGTAATTGCACCAAACCAGAAGTCCTTCTTCAGTCCGCGCTTGCACTTCGGGATGACCTGCAAAGCCCCGAGGTGGAACTCGGGGTAGACACTCCGATGCTTAAGTCAGCAATAATCGGGGCTACCTTTAGGGCGGAGATAAAAAGAGCTTAGGGTTGGTTTCAATTACCTTTT